CTCACGCCTAATCTTATCCACTTGTGATATTGTGCGGTCGATGAGTCCTTTTTTCAACTCCTAGTAATTGGGAGCGCATGTGACTGCTTTTTAGCTTTGACTGCTCGACCAATCCTTGGTCTCCTTGTGTCCTCATTGACTCGGCTTGTTATGAAGAGTCTTCTTCGGCTCGGTCAATGGATATAGTTAAATTTTGGGTGCCAATAGAAGGAAAATCAAACTTTGATGGAGAAAATGAAAAAAAAAACATTTGGATGGTAATAATAATTATAATAACAACAACACATCAATAGCAGTCTTAATCTTCTAGACGCAATTTGTTGCCTTTCCCTCAAATGCACAAAGGGTAAAAAAAAACAATTGAAAAGCTCCAACCTCAAATGCAAATAGGACAACATTATGAGAACATTTCTTTTTCTGTTAAATTTTTTTTTTCTACTGATAGCCTTACCCTATTTTAAGGAGGCCGGATGTTAATCTAATAATTTCTATCACATGAGCACAGGTTTCTGTTATTGTAATTATGGGTTAATGGATCAACGTATGTGAGCAAAACAAAGCATGATTTTTCAGTTCATATGTATCTGTTAAGTTCATAAATATCTTAAGTTCATGAATCCCTTAAGTTCATGTATCCGTTAAGTTCATGAATCTCTTCAGTTCTTAAATATCTTCAATTCATGCATCTCTTAAGTTTATTAATCTCTTCAGTACATGTATCTGTTAAGTTCATGTATCTCTTGGGTACACGTATCTTTTCAGTTCATGTTTATTCAAACTCTATAAATGGAATTGAACTATTCTTCATTCCAAAAGAAGATGGAGTAAATGGAGTATAGAAAGTATAGAGAATAGAGTAAAAGTTCTCTTAAATTTCTTCTTTGAGTGTGTTGGTTTTGAAAGGTGTTCAACAGAATCATGTTTGCACAATGCTAATACAAATGGGTTCAAGATATTGTATTTTTGGGAGATATAGTTCATGAAACTACTTAACGCCATTAGCAAAAACTAATCCCCTTGGCTAACGTACCTCGCATATTATTTAATTTTGTTACAATTTTATAGCAATTTTGCCAGTCTATTTGGTTTATATTGGTATACTCTTCACGTGTTGAGAAAATTCATTCAACATATTTACACATTGACTTGGTCGTTTTTATTTTGTTATTGCTTTCTCAAAATTATTATTTATATATAATTTTTCTGATTACAAGGAATAATATTACAATGTTATTTTTACAATCTAACCATTGGATGGCAGAGATCGAATATCAAATTGACTCTCTTTCCGAGGACCTGTTGCCGGCAGCCCAAGATAAATGTCAACTGACGTTGTCACATCAGGTTTGGCTACAATGATTAGATGATGCCGAAGTTGCAGTCTGCAATATAAGAATATCGAATTTTGTTGGGTGCGATTGTTTGGGTATAATGTAAGTATTTTATTGGCCATTTGAAAATTGTCATATGAATTAGAATAATGAAACATATTTGTGTATATGTGTGTACAAGAGAGAGAGTTTTTTATGAGTTTATTGCTTTTCCAATATGGTCGTATCGCGTGTGATAAAGTTCTTGGTAGGAATGACAATTCAAATTACGACGTTTTTCACTCATACTAGTATTTAGAGTCACACTAGGCACCTGGTATGTAAAAGCCTTATTTAAATATATGTGTGGATAGGGGTGATTTTCATGCACTTTTGGGTATTAGTATATCCCGTGCTAACATAGAAAGAACAATGTTAGTGATATTAGGGATCATCGAATAAATTGCTTTACAAGTAATGTCGTACTTTATAAGTGGTTATTTAAGCAAGTGAGCCCCGTTTAAGCATTCGATTCAGAATTTGCTACAATAAGTAAAAAAAAAGGGTAATGAGTTTGAGTATGTTTAACATTATTAAAAAAAGATTTACATGTAAGCAATTCATTTAAATATTATTTGTTCTATTTAGTATGGAGAAATTATTTAAACCCTAATTTGTATGAAGATCTTCTACCCCACAAGGTGCTCCTCTCGGTGTCTCTTACATACTTTAGTTGCTAACAATATTCTCATTAATAATTGACATTCATTGAGATATCAAGGCTGTATTTGGTTGTTTGGATTTCTAGTCAGAATAGGGCCAAATAGGATAAAACATGAAATTCAAGGATTTTGCTATATCGTATTCACTGTTTGGCGAATCGTAGTAATAAGGCCGGATATTTTCATATAATATCTTCTTTATTGTTTGGTATAAACAACATATCAGTGTAAAATGAACCTGAAAATGTACAAATGGAAATAGTAAGAATTTTTCATGATCGACTAATAAAGGAACTACAAATGCATAAATGGAGATAACCTCCAATCCATAAATCAATTTATGACTAATGTACAATTTAAATTTTAAATGGAAAATGAGCTCAGTGAAGCATTCGAAGCCCACAAGTTTAACTATGACAAGAAATGTAAACAAGCTACAACAACATCAACGAGGTAATCCAGCGAATGCCAAATCTAATAAGAGAAAGAAAACATCATCATTCACCTTCGCGATTCCGAAAAATATATTGTTTCGACTCTCTCGCCACTTTCGTGAAATATTAATGTGAACCACAGAATTACGGAGGAGAATGAGTTTCAACTCTCTTGCTGCTTTCATGGACTTTTGAAAACGATAAATGCTAAAGTTGGAACAACTTTTTGTCTATTAATAGTAGAAAATACAAATTGCGACAAATTGTTTAGAGGAGCCCAATAATCTAAAACATAAATTAAACATAACACCAAAAACGGTTAGGGCACATATGATAACCATTATACTTTTCTATTTTTCTATTTTTCTGTTCCCGGGAATAAGTTTGAAACAGAAATCCGTTTAGTTACGCAATTTTATTTTTCTATTTCTGGAACAAATTTTGATTTCCGAAGTATGTTTGGAACATAAATAAGAAGTATAAATTTTCTACTTTTCTATTTCTGGAATAGAAATGAGAAATGAAAACTCTTCTCATCGCTCGCCCTTGCTACTAGCCGGTCGGCCACCCGTTGGCCGTCGCCGGCCGCCTCCCACCGTCTCCGCCCTTCATCACTGCCTAACACCAACCACCTCTTGCCGTTAGCCGCCGTCTGCCGCCATCCGCCTCCTGCCGGCCGCCCGGGAAATAAAAATTTTGTATCATTATCAAATGTGTATTTTGACTTAGAAACTCGTCTAAGAAATAGAAATTGATTTCTAGAACAGAATGGTTATCATTCGCGCTCTTAATATTGTGAAAACTACAATATCTATCTAATTATAAAATTGTATATCCTCTCATCATAGTGCAGTTCAGCAATGATAAAGCTTAACTAAAAAATATATCTACTTTTAACTTTAAAGAACAAAAAGAATGTCAATTTAAGTCCCTTGAAAAGTGTAAAAAGCGAAGCTAAGTTCTTTTGTAAAATTGAAAATGATAATGCATAAAGAAAAGATTAATAGAACAAAAAGTATGTCAATTTAAGTCCCTTGAGAATGCTTTCATCAAATTTTATTGTTAAATTTGCTGATGTAGATGACACATGGTGACGTGGGATGGTAATGTGGCAAGTCCACGTGTAAATCCATAGGGTTAATACAACGAAAAACTCTAAACTAGGATTTCCATGTGGACTTGCCATGTTACTTTACTACGTCACCAATGTTATCCATGTCAACAAATTCAATGATAAAATTTGACAAAAGCTAACTGAGGATAAATTTGTCACAGATGTACGAGTTTAATGTTTTTTGCTGTCAAAAAATTAGTTTGGGGTAAATTTATCGCAAGTGTACTGGTTTAGGGTTTTTTCTAGTCAATAAATTAGTTTGAGATAAATTTATCAAATGTATACCAATTTAGGGTTTTTCATAGTTAAAATATTAGTTTTAGGTAAATTTATCACATGTGTACCAGTTTAGTATTTTTGATGATATTAATCCTATATTAAATGAAATCATGAAGGATGATCTGTGGCTCCGACACCGTATTGAAAATCTAAGCTATCATAGCATGCCGCACAATGTATTTTATACCCTAGCAATGCGCATTTTCTTGCATCAAAAGTGTGGAAAGAGAGATCATCTAGAGAGAGGAGGAAAACACAAAGATGGGACGAAATGGGAGCAATGGCAGCTGTCACTGTACATCACCTCAAAATGAACGGAAAGGATTGCTATGCTTGTCATCGAAGATTCACACCTTGTTGATCTCCTCTTACCAAGGGGTGTCTCATTCAACACCAAGACAAATATGCTCGCAGGCCAGCCGTGGGGCCTTGTTGGTCAACGCAGCGGAAGCGAAATCTGATTTCCTATTTTTTTTAATCAGCGTCGGAGACTCCTGGTAATCATTGTACATCTCACATTGCCACGGTCTAGGCATCCGTGCCGATAGATAATTCTCATGCAACCATAAATTAAAACTGAAATATTTTAAAACCGACTGGGTGAAGGTGAGGCCCAATCTGAATGGACCCAACCATGCGACGTTAAACTTTTTTCTTATATGACAATTACCCATAAACAATGATGAACCAAAATCCACTTTTCGTTCATAAATCCAATTATCATATCGCAATAACTTCGCTAAGGCCAAATTCTTACACTCATAAGCCCTTGAACACTACAACAAACACCAACCACCAACCATATCCCCAAGTTATGAAAAGTGTGCTGGTCTTATGGAAATACCCACTTTCCATCTTTAGGGATCAAGAATTGTTTTCCATGTTCTTTTCTTGAATTGGCTTCTGATTTGTCTGTGAGTCCTTATCACCTTAGTTGTTTGTCTCTCTTGTCTCTCTTTCAAATTCCATGTCCCACCCCTTATTTTTCCATTCAACGCGAATTCATGTGCCGGCCCTTTGATCCTAAAGTTGTCTCGTTGTTTCTTATTGTTCTGTTACTATCACTCCAAACTACAGTTCAAGCTCAACTCTAATATATAAACTTCCCATCACTTTATTAGCTTAACCTATAGTGAAAAGAAAATTGGCATACAGAAGCTATGGATGAAGCAAAGAGAATAGAAGAAGGACTAGCCCGTGAAGCCCAGACTCAGCTTATTAAGGAAGATTGCGAAGGTGACTTGTGCAAGAAATTAGACAGAAACGATGGCAGAGATCGCGTCGACAACATGCTTGACCAGCCTGTGGCCGAGAAAGCAGAGGAGCAGCCCCAGGTCACGCAGAAGAGCAAGAGGGTCGCGACTTTAGATGCATTTAGAGGCCTCACCATAGTGGTAATTTTAACTCCTAAAACCCATATATGTTACTAGTCATTAGCCCATTGGATTATGTGCCAATACTTATACTTATGACGCACTTGTTAATTCTTTGCTGATAGTAATTTTGACCTTATGTACAGTTGATGATTCTTGTGGATGATGCCGGGGAAGCGTATGCACGCATCGACCACTCGCCTTGGAACGGTTGCACATTGGCTGATTTTGTCATGCCTTTCTTTCTCTTCATTGTCGGGGTGGCAATCGCCCTTGCTCTCAAGGTACTAGAATGCCCGTTCCCATCATTGCTCGTTTCCGTTAATGAAATTAGTTACGTCATTAGTCTGGCTATAGCTAGAAAATCCGCTCCCCGCCGACTAGAAGATTTGTTCTTCATTCTGGCAAGTGACAACATAGTTGCACTTTCCAACTCTGAATTAAATGGCAGCATCGTATAGCTGTCAGTAAACTGTTCCAATATAAGAAGACTTTGAGAATTTTTGTGTTTCATCTAATGGGACATATTTGAGATAATGTCCGAAAGGTTTGGGTGGATTATTTGGAGTTGAAAGCTCGTGTTAGTTCAATATCCTAAACTGCAAATTATCAGCAATATACATATTTTCTGGTTCACCCTCTGCGGAAACAGGAGCATTTGAGCATGTAGTCTATCGGCACAATTTCTTGATTTTGCAGAAAATTCCCAGAATCAAGGATGCAATAAAAAAGATTGTCATAAGGACATTGAAGCTTCTTTTCTGGGGCATTCTGTTGCAAGGTAACATCGATACTCCTCTTGGCTTTGTCTTTCCTTTTTGTCCGTCCTAAGAGCGGTAAGCTGTTTTTTCTTGGACCCTGCAGCATTGTACAAATGTTTTAAATTGATATTCAAGTGTGATTCTGCCGGCTAAGGATTTGAAGAAGCGTTTCATGCTTTCTCAGTCAAATATACAATGTTCTTTCGCAGAAGACAAATTAAAGCTTTTTGGCAACAGAATTCTATTTTAGTTGATGACTTAACGAAAGATAATGCATAAAGATTGTGTGATCGGCAACTAAACGAGCTCTGCAGGAGGATATTCCCATGCACCTAATGATCTGTCCTATGGAGTAGACATGAAACACATCCGTTGGTGTGGCATCCTCCAGGTTATTTTTGAAATTCAATAATTAGTACTTGGAAATTCTTCCATAAACTTTTGTATCAGATCAGATTCAGGCCAGCTATCATGCTAACAACTATATGTGTCATGCATTTTTACAGCGAATAGCACTTGTTTACTTCATGATAGCCCTAATAGAGACTCTCACCACAAAGCACAGACCAACAGTACTTGAGCCTGGACATTTATCTATTTTCACAGCATATCGTTGGCAATGGTGAGTTCAATTTTGTGCTTGGCTTACTGAGTGTCAACTCATACCTTGACTAATGATCTAAGTGATCTATGATCTATGTATGTATGATTAGGATGGGGGGATTCGTCACTTTTGTAATTTACATGGTGACGACATATGCTTTATATGTTCCTGATTGGTGTTTCGTTGTCCACGGCCAGGATGGACCCAAGAGATATACAGTATGTATAAATGCCATGACATCTTGGAGGTACTATTAGTTGGAGAAATGACTTCAAGTGAAAATTTTGATTTCTTTTGCTCGACTTGTCACAGGTCAATTGTGGAATGAGAGGACACCTAGGTCCTGCATGCAATGCAGTCGGCTACGTCGACCGACAGGTTTGGGGTGTCAACCATCTGTATTCACAGCCAGTCTGGCAACGGTTAAAGGTTACCTTTCAATTGTCAGAGAAAATTTTCTAATCTGACTTGTTCTGATCAAAAGTTAGTCACCAATTGATCTTGCTTGTAGGCTTGCACTCTTAGTTACCCGAGTTCCGGCCCTTTTCGTGAGGATGCTCCTACATGGTGCCGTGCTCCATTTGAGCCAGAAGGCTTATTGAGGTTTTGACAGTTTATCCTATGCGTGTTCTTATTCGGACATCTTGTTTGGACCTACTAGCTTTATGCTTGAAATGAGTTTTCAGTCTCCTGAAAAGAAAAAGAATGTCGTCATATCCATGAGGACCTAAAAGCGAGGCTTTGTTTGGATGATTGACCTTTTTTTTTTTGGCCTTTCTCAGTACAAGTTCTGCCATTCTATCTGGCACCATTGGCATCCACTATGGGCATGTCCTGATTCACTTCAAGGTAAGACCACGACTTGCCCTTGGACAAATTCGCCTTTCTGATTGACCTTGAAGGCCCGTAAAGATAGTATTTGGTCTTGCAGGGTCACTTTGAGAGGCTCAAGCAATGGGTCTCAATGGGGCTTTGCTTACTTATCGTTGCCATTATCCTGCATTTCACAGACGGTGATCTCCTTCAACTCTTCAATGCCGCCATTTTTTACAACTCTCATGTTATAGACAGCATGATTTACAATATTTTTTGCAATTTTTATTCTGGTGGATGATTAAAAGAACCTACCCTGATTTTGCAGCCATTCCTATTAACAAGCAGCTATATAGCTTCAGCTATGTCTGCTTCACAGCCGGTGCAGCCGGAATTGTGTTTTCTGCCTTCTACATTGTGGTACATAATTGCAACTTTACTTACTTTGTTTTTGCAAGATTAAACAAATAGCCGATGCAAATTGATAACCTGTTTTCCCTCCTACTTGGAATTTCACGAATGATCAACAGATCGATGTTTGGGGATTGAGAACGCCCTTCTTATTCTTGGAGTGGATTGGAATGAACGCAATGCTTGTGTTCGTGATGGCTGCACAGGGCATCTTCGCTGCATTCATAAATGGATGGTACTCCAAAGATCCAGACGACAATCTGGTAAGTAGTACAGAAAGCCCTATTCATGCAGAATTCACTTCTCATCAGATAAAACTTTCCGACATTAGTTTGAATATAGAAAACTGTGCTGGATCATGCGAGCTGAGAAACCTTTCCGCTACTTGAGCAGGTGAATTGGATCCAGAAGCACATATTCATTAACGTTTGGCACTCTAAGCGGTTAGGGACGCTCTTGTATGTGATATTCGCGGAGATAGTTTTCTGGGGAATTGTCTCCGGCATCCTACACAAACTGGGCATATACTGGAAGCTATGAGAACCAACCATCTGCGGATGGCTAATCGTTGCTCCTCTCACATGTTCTGAATGCCCTTCCTTTCTTTTTTCCTAGCTTCTCTTGTACTTTTTGGAAGTTGCTCGGATTTTAACCTGCTCGGTTCTACTGTCAATGTGGTTTTGTTGTACATTAGATTATCTTGATTCAGGAAGTGTAATATGTTTTCCCAGTCTAATGCATCTTTTGAAAGAACAAATAGCATTGATCCTTTAAATTTATTAGAAGTAGCAAAATTTGGATGTAGAAATAACATTAGCCATTGATCTTTGAATTTCAAGAAATCCATGTTGTGAGTAACACTCTAATTTGACTGAGCTGCTAGTAATAATTCATTCCATAAGTCCACTGCAATGCTTATCTCAAGAACTTCAATCAGAAAGGAGAGTGACAGGAAAAAATTTAGTCAGACTCACCCTGTTTTTGTCTTTGTCGCGACCTAAAATTTCTCTCAGGCTAATGGATTATTAAGACTAAACTTAACTCGGGCACTCCCAAGCCCTACCAATTCGCAACTTAGGGTTTAAGTTTTTAGCATGCAAAAGTTTTCATGTTTGGAGTCGCCACTAATCTATTTGCGGTAGGTCGATTAGAAACCTAAATAAAACATAGGGAGATATGTTTTATTCCTACGAACCAGAGATTCTAAGCTCGGGGACTTGATTACGCTAGATCTAGTCTAACGCCCTTTCGGTACCTTTTCTTTTCAAAAAAATGTTTTGGCAGACAGTTTGGATTCATTTTAACTTAGTCACTAGCATGTGAGGTGATCATGCGGGTGCGCAAACCACCAAAGTAACACCCAATAATCAAAACATTAAATAAATTGCAAGATTGGGAGAATTACTTACCTCGAAGCAACGTAAGCATCTGCATTGTTAGCTAGAAAATCACATCAACAATCCTAATATGATTTCTAATTAACAAGCAGTTCACTCAATATTTTTTAGGATTTTCACTTATTTAAATGAAAGCTAACCTATATGTAATGACGTGCAAAAATTAACATGCGATTAATGCAGCCTAACATGCAAACTATATGTCATACGACGACGTGACCTAATTCTAATGACGGACAAATGATTTATTTTTGGTATTTTCAAATGAAATTCGGAATTAAAAATTACTCAAATTAACATGCAATCTATCCTAGAGAAAATGATTTGATCTATCCTAAAGTGATTCTTTTTTTTTTGGGATTTTTATTAAAATTCGAAATTATTAAATATCCTAAATAATCCACTTAGATTAAAACAATCTTTAATTTAAACTAGACTAACAATTTTTTTAGATTTTCTTTATTTAAAAGGAAAACGATCAAACAAAAATACCAATCACATTCAAACAATCCACGCAATCCGCAAGATTCTTCAAATTCAGATAAGGCAAAGAAATCAAACTAGCGGTCATATCTATAGGGTTATAGATATCGACAGAAAGTTGATTGTTCAAATTTGGAAAGCAAATAAAATCTATTATCGTATACAAGTGATTATGGATAAGATAACGATTTTCTGTATCGCCGCGTATCATACCTTAGGGATAAGGTAGGATAGTCGTCCAGATACGTTGCCAAATTAGGAATGATTCCTAATTTTGGGTGTTTCCGAATATTGCGGATACCACAAAATTATCCTAAGATATCTAGCTATCCACCAAATATTTACGAAATATTCAAACACCCGAAAGATTAGGAAATTGAATATTCTAAGACTATAGATGAGAATCTTACCTAATTTGTGGATATTTCCAATTCGAACTTGGATCGGACTCGGGCTCGCGGATCGGGACGGTGACCGACAGCGGATGGCCGACGACAACGAGTCGCTTGCGGATCGTCAGGAATTTAGGCTCGTCACCTGCGAAACAGAATCACGAGTGGGACGACGGACTGACTCGCGACCATGGGGTCAGCCGCAAGGGTGATGCGATAGCAGGAGCGCTTGCCGAGGTGGACTGGCGATGGATCACGATTTAGGCGTTTCTTGGTCACAGCTTGATTCGTGGATCGACACAGGAAGTTCCCACCAGTCAATGGCTTGGTTTGCTCGCCATAACACCTTGAACGATTCTGCGAAACAGAGGAAAATCTGGAAGCTCTCGGTGCAAGAAGGTTCAGGATGTTTCTGGTTGAATTCCCGCTGCTGCAGTGCTTGCCGGGGGTGTTGAAACTATGAAGGCGTCGGACCACAGGGACCCGATTTAGAGGGAAGCCACAGCTTGGTCGAAGAGCTGCTGATGGTGCAATTGTCGGAGACGCGATAGTGGCTAAACACGACCCCAGATAGGAAGAGGGTAGCAGCAACGTCAAAACCGTGGATGTGCGGCAATTCTCCGTTTGCACCACCAACAATTCTCTGGTGCTGCTTCTTCAGGGCCAATTCGTGCGCTTCTCTTTCTCAAAGCCACCTTTTTACGAACTCTTCGCAGAACTGTGGCCGTGAATCTCCGAAGCTTCTCACGATTTTTCTCTCAATTGTGTGGCCGTGTGTTCAATTGTGTGGCCTCGCGCTCTCAGGAGTTGCGTTCTGGAAAATTATGAGAGTCCCCCTGATTATGACGCATAACGACATATTTATATCGCAATCCTAGGTTAATTAACCGGGCTTCCTAGTCCTAATGGGCTTAGACTTAGGCTTTATCATTTAATTTTATTTTAATTCCAAATGGGCTAAATTAATTCGGGCTGATTTAAGCTCAAATTAAAACAATCAAAGCCTTTTAGACTTGTGAATTTTGGCCCCCAATCCCTTGAGTGAGCCGAGCGCTCAAGCTCGGTTTACGCGATGAATTTTTAGCTTTTTCGCCACCGCCGGTCCGATGCGGAATGCAACTAACCTATATGAACTTAAACTATATGCTATGCAATTTTAATATTTTTATTTAGGGGTTAAAATTTAATCCCTAATTTTCTATGTAAATTATTATTAAATAGTTAGTCAAAATTTAGGTGTCAACAGTCTTACATAATGAACAGGGGCGAGCTATTACCAACTTGACCAGAGAAGAAGAATGATTAACCTCTATATGATGAGTATTAGGAGCAAAACTACCACAAAAAACTCTCAATAGCATCACACGTGGACACCCCAGAGGAGATACAACGGTGGGCTCCGAATACTTTGGCAAACCGACATGATTTAGTCTCTATTAGCAAGATGTCTGTGCGTCGCACAGAGTTTAAGACTATGTATAATCTTTGGTATTTTCTGTATTAAATGGATGATTAACCTAAACACCACATAAAGGATAAAAATCTATATTAGAAACTAAGAACTCTTTTTGAAAAGTGGATTAGATAGAAGGTCATCACCTTTTTCATATCTTCTTCTACAACTTTTGTCTTTTACTTCACAATTCAAATGAAAGTAAATAATTGATAAGGAAATATGTAATTAAGGTTAACTTAGCATAAGAATAGATAAAGAATTACGTATTGCGGCATCGAGTAAGAAATCCCCATACTCCAACTTACAAATTATTAGGGGTAACAATACAACTTAGAGGAAGGCGACTAGATTGTTTGAGAATTATGAAAAATATTTGCGGAATATAACAAGTTCAACTACAAACAATAGCATAAACAAATTACAGAAATCATATGCATGCGTGGGCTCCCGTTTAATAGATAGTGATGATAACGAACAAGTAATGCCAATAATAAATACATAGAAGATATTGCAAGCAGATATGTAATGGTTTAACTTTATCACTAAGCCTACGTCCACTCTCAATACTAACAGCCACAACAAAACTGGAATCCACTAATAATCTTTAAGACAAGCTACAATCAGCAACTACTGCATTTCCAAGAGATCACACATCATGACTCACGTACTGTCATCACCATTATACACTTACTCTTATCACTGATTACAAACATTATCACCACCCAAACATTGACATCAGGAATACACAGCAGCTAACCACAAAAACATAGCAAAAAAGAATACTCAAAGTACTAGACAAGTTTTGTTCATTTCCACCCAAGCCAACTACTTCTCTTGGACTTAATATATAGCTATCCATCCTCAAATGACCGTTGCCCATCAACATCCTCAAGTAGCCGTTGGTTCCACCATTGCCGGTAGCATAACGTCGCTCATAATAGTCAGAACGGCTCTCTGACATCGGCAGCATCTCTATAACAGTGTGGCAGTTTTCCTGAACAGTATTAGTATACTTTTGTCAGACTATCTCTTTTTCATTAATGCTAGAATTGCTCCTGGTCAACTCTTATGCTCTTTTCCATAGTCCAAAACTATTAGACACCAGATTGAGGATTGAAAGAGAATGTCGCCTGTCTTGCACCTCTTTGTTTTTGAAGCTGCTCCTGCCCACAATCCGTTGCTCCCAATAACGCTCTTGCTGATCTTTCTTCTGATCCTTCCATGCATATAGGCAATATCAACTCTATCAAGCTATTTATCTCCATGGTCCTTTCACGCTTTACTAAACATCCCCATTCTAGACTTGTTTACTAGGGTGTGCAACCGGATCAGGTTTATCCGGAAATCGGATTGGCCCACCCGAAAAACAAGTTCGGGAACCGATTCCCGTTTGAACCGGTTCGAGAACTAGTTCCATTTTTTGGGAACCGGTTAGAACCGGTCCGATTTCCTGTTCCAAGTGAAAACCCACCTGGACCGGTTTTAGAACCGATTTTATATGGAGGTCCACTTGCAATTTTATATAGCCAGAATTCAAAGCATTATATCATAAAGGATAAGGGAGGTGATCATTATTTGCGGATAGTCTAACTCAAGGACTTGTAAGTATTATAGGAAGCAGTTTCCCTTTTCTTAAAATTTTTGTTCGGTAACAAAGAAACTACGTATCCAACTGGAACGTATGCTGTTTTATCACGTCCATTAAATTATTAGGACTAAGATAATATGCTTTTGTATGAATACTTAAGATTGTTTGCACAGTCAAACTTATAACCTTTGATTTAAGTTATAAGTTTTCCTATTTGTTAGCCGGAAAAAATGAAACCAAAAAAAGAAACAAAAAAAAAAAGGGGTTCTCGGGTAGACCCTATAACAGAACCAAAAAAACAGGGTAGGTTCCAAAACAGAGTCCAGAGCAAATAGGGTAGATTTCAGGTTCAAAAAACTAGGAACCAATTATAACATGGTCGGTTTCAGGTTCCAGGTCTAGAACCGATCACCCCTATTGTTTACCATCACTAGGTCCATCAAACTGTTCATCTCGTCTTGGTCCTTCTAAGCCATCACGAACATCCATATATTTCCCGACTTGTTCACCCTTAATCAAGGTCTTTCCAGATGTTCACCTTATCTGAAGATCCTTCTAGCTCATAGACATCTTGACATTCGATACCTTATAACAATTCCTCGATATCGGTAGAGCACTCCTTATATCAAAATCTCGTGGCACTAATTATGACATCATCTGCATTTTGGCTTGTGTGTATTGTTGGATGTATACCCTAAGTAACCATGTAATAATTCCATGTTAGGGATTAAGTTGTACTATCAATTTCATTATTTATTTAGTGGCAATGACGTATTCATTCATTTGTCCAATTGTTTATATATATGAATAATCCAAAAGATCAGTTGTGACTGGACCTATTCTTGAGATATTAATGTGTGATGGGTTCACAATTAGACTGAATCTTTAAATTGTTCCCGATCGATGGATCATTGAGTGGATATTAATGATCCAGTTGAGACTTGTGTGTTCTTAGCTTCACCATTAAGTATTGGATACTTAAGGGAATGATGAGTCACGAGTCATTGGGTATTATGATGCCCGAGTTAGAACACAGGTGCTTATACCAGATAAGTTCACTAAACGTAACACGCATAAAAGTCCGTTTTAGGCCTTTTTCTTAGAAAATAAGGGCAGTTCAAACCCTTCTTTGAAATTTTCTCCCTAATTTATCTATCCTACTTTAATTATCGAGAAAATGGGACAAATTAGAATCCAGAAAAAATCTCGATGGTTGAATAAAATGGCAATTCTGCTAGAATTTCCCAAGTTGGGTCTAAAATTTCCATACAACATCCCGAAGTTATGTCTTTTTCCTCTTGGCCCTATACAAACTTCCCTACTATTTCAATGCAAAAACAATATTCCTCTTGGTAGACACTCATCAATCGTCCGCAAGAATCTTTTGAATTGATAAGTTTGGGAGCTGAAGATGTAAATACTATGAGAATAGTGAGGAACAACATGGAAAAAGCGAAGGTTGAAATTTTATCATACAAATCGAGTATGGTTGTGACTAATGACGCTAGTGATGATAATGATAATGAGGTTTCTTTGTGCGATATTTCGGTATTGGACCCCCTTCAAAGGAAAGAAAAGGAAACAAATTATGGAAGGCTTAAAAGCTCAAGTGAGAAAAAGAAGAAAAACTCTAAGAAAGGAACACCCCAACGCGAATAGAAAATTGAGGTGAGTGACATATTATTCTAGTTAATATGAATAGTTAAATTTTTTGCTTATGTTACATGATGCCAATTAACATATTTATTACTTTGTAATGTAGAGTTGATTGTCCAAGCAACACATAATGAAACTCATTTCCCAAATTATTCGAGTAATTCAGATCAGTTTCGAAATGCCTTTTACACTAGCAACATTGGTAATCCTACAGTAAATCTAAATTTTCATAATCAGGTTTGTCGCTCTTAATCCTCCATTTGTATTTACATTATACTAATTTGGTCATTTTTTTATATAGATGCAACAGCCACCATACATCATGCCGTCGGAAATTATGAATGAATTTTGCCTATTCCCTAGTCAGGTATTTAATAGTCTGGTGTATTAGCTTATGTTTCGTCCACATTGCTTTTATCAACATAAGGGAAGCTTAATTGATGATCAATCGGTTTGCTTATATGTTCTTCAAGTTTTGTGCATCTTTACAGTTACAGAAAACACATACTTCCCAAAAGTTACAATCATTAGGATAATTTAGTTACATTATGATAATTGGATCATTTATTTAATGTAGATTCAATCACCATACATCATGTCGCCAGGAATTATAAATGGATTTTCCTCATTCACTAGTGAGGTGCTTATTATGAAATCATTTTAGATTATGGTGTTATTTCAACTTTTTATTACTATTGTAATATTTATTGTTAATGATTTTTTCTGGATAGATGTTGGAGTACCATAATAGATCTCACAGAACCATTTCAAGTTAGGTACAACTTGCCTTTTGTTGACGTGGGATTACTTGAAACATTTTTATCTAGGCATATTGTTTAGTAAAATGTATATATATATTTGTTATTTCCTTGTATAGGGGTCGTCAAACTCTTTTCAGCATCCTGGAATGAATGAATCCGGAGCCCCCTTTCACATAGTATGAGTGAAGAACTACTTCTGAGTCAGCCATTCGATATCTTTACACTTGTAAATTAACTGAGGTGATGACTTTAAAACAGAGATAATTCATCAAAGTTCCCTCCTAATGAAGTACAAAACAAACATTTTTACAACACTATCACTCGCACTTGTACAAAGAATTAATTCTAGCACCAATACTCGTCCACTAAACATGCAAAATAATCTGGCTTCTTCATGTGAGGTGTTTGTAGATGATATATTGGGACTTCAAGCACAACGCTGTTAAGAGCATTCGTAATGTTTTGTATGCTTAATGGATACTCCACCTGTCACATAAAATTTTCTAGTTTCAACTGACTAAGTAGACTGTAGGACCCGAATGCCCGTTTGCTAGAGTAGTCTTTAAGATGGATAAGTCTTTGTAATCTATTAACTGCAAAAAACATAACAGCAAGTGCACTAACGTTATAGTTCTGCTGTGTATTTCTCAAAGGAAGCACCTGCAAGAGTTTCACGCTACCAACTCGCTCATTATACTTTTCCCTAAACAGAATTTGCCCTACTAATAAATACCTACTGTTAAAACTGCAAAGAGAAGGATATGGCGAAAGTGAGTTCATAGAGGATTATTCAAACCTATCACGCCAAGCCACTAATTTCTCACTGAGCTTGAAAACAAAAGCAACTGTACGGAAACCCAGCAAAGAATTGGAAATGCCAAAGTAACTCTACAAAACCCTAACCTAAGCTCTTCAGATGCAGAAGACGAATCGGAGCGCCAATGGTGCTTCGGGAGCAACGGCGGAGGCATGATTTGTCGGACGACAGAGAGCAGAGTGGAGTTGATTCTTGGGACAGAGAGAGAGAGAGAGCGGCAGAGGACGAATCATAGCCACCAATGGAGCTTCGGGAGGCGATGCGGAGGCGGCAGAGTGTTCGGCATTGGAGCCACCGATGGGCTCCGGGAGGCGACGGCAGAGGCGTGGTTCACGAATAGAGACGCGCTTCGTGTAGGAAAGAAAGAGAGCAGAAGGAGAGATTTTAGTCTTGAGAGAGAGGTTTTCTCGGGAGGAGACGGCGGAGGCAACCAGTGGAGGCGGCGGCGTGGTTAACAACTAGAGACGACGCGCCTCCGCGGAGAAAAGATGGAGAGTAGAGCGGAGAGAATTTAGTCGTGAGGAGGGAGGGAGGGAGGTAGGGAGAGAGACGTCATGAAGAGTGAAAGAGGGAGAGCACACGTTATCAGTAATGGAGCGTTACAAGAGTAGGGGGGGCGGGGGGGGCGGTCATTAAGTTTTGAAAAATCTGACTTGTGGGCCCGGATTGCCACGTGTTGACTCTGGATGGTTTGTTGCAGGTCCTATGTGGAGTATTAAACACACCCAATATTTTCTCGTGCTGTTTCTGGCAAGTGATGAGACGGCATTCGTGACGGGGGATGATCTGGCGGTGGACGGTCGATTCCTACTCCATCCCTTCAGCTCCAGGCAACGGTGGTCGTCCCCTAATTCCGACTGGTAGCTTTTTTTTTCCGATTAATTACGTTAGAATACGGCAGAGCAACATGCATTAGAATACATAGAAATTTATGAACGTCTGCATGAAATGGTTGATGGTGTAATGGAAGAATAATTTTGGAAATGATGGGAAACAAATGTCTCTTTTCCTTCAATAATTATGTCGAAATGGGTAATTATCGATTAGGGATGTAATGCATGGCCAATGTGTAATCACTCATATAAAAATATTGTAAAAGACTCTTCTCTATGGGTTGCTCCTAAAATTGCCACCTACCCGCCACCGAAGCAAAAACCTTACTTTCTATTTAATGGTTCGGTTGAAAGGTCGATTTTCTTTCTCTTATTTAAGTTGTCAACCGAAAGTCGATTGGCATTAAGAACTTTCCTTCTTACTTTTCAATTTTTCTTTTCGACTTCAGTCATCTTCAAGTTCCAATGAAGGCTATTAGAAAAGAGTTGCGATTGAGACGTGCATTCTATCTCCATACGTAGTTCGCTTATTATAGCGTTTCATATACCGTGCAAAGATTATGACTTTTTTTTTAGAGAATAAAGTTTGCTGATAATATAGATTGGGATTGATATATGTATAAGATTCTTAAAATATCTGCCCGCCCCTGCCATATTAGTAAGATATTTATGAATAAGAAAGAAAATTCGTAATTGAAAATATTATAAAAAAAAATTTGGCTGAACGGTCCAGGTCCAGCACATGTGGTTGGAAGAGAAGATGGGAAATAATCTTTATATGAAAATATAATGAAATTTTGATAATATTATGTCCTACCCATTCATATGTATAAGACTAAAAATTGAGTTTGATAAGTTGCCATCAATTTAAAGAAGTAAATACAAATTAGTCAATTTCCTCTTCATTTTATGCATGGTCTTATCAAACCCTAAGAAAAATACAAATTAGTGGACAATCCAAAGCCACATGAAAAAGGAAAATCAACGCAAAATTCCAACACACCGCCGGCATGAGAAATTTCAGGAGTTCCATCATCAAGGCAAGAAACTATCGCGTTACCTAAAACTTTATAACAAAGGGGTCTCCCAAATTGAAATTTCCTTAAATTCAAAAAAAAAAATCCAGCTAAGTAAAGAAATAAATAAACAAAAATTTAAAAAAACAAAAAAACCAAAATCATCACGATCTAATTCAACTTTCCGATAACAATGAGAATTCATCTTCTGGTTTTCTCCGCCAGTGATAATAAGCCGCCCATAACCAATCCGGCGATACCAACTTCTTCCCTTCTCGCTTGGCCCACCTCGCGCTCTCTTCTTCCACGTCCAAAGCCACCACGTGCGTCACCGACGACCCGAGGCCCGCCTTGCACTTGGCCCCTAACTCCTCCGCCGCCGCCCGGAGCCGATCCGACTCCGATCCCGATGCGACAATCTTGCTAAGAGCCAGTACACAACCCTTCAGGACTCTAGACCGCACCCCGGCCAACACCTTCCTCACGTCCCGTTTGTCCCAATTGTTCGCCCCGTACTTGGGGTCGAAAAATTCCCCGTGCACCTCTTTCAGCACGCCGAGTATAGACGACAGCACGCCGCCGTCCTCGTCCTCGTCGATCCTCGTTCCGGCGTACGACTTCCAATCTATGCTGTCCTCGAGACCAGTCTCGAAATCGAAGTACTTGTAACCCGAGATCGGTATCAAGTTCCTCCTGTGATCTGGCCAGACCTGTTCGGTATCGTCCAGGATGAGGACCGCGCTCTCCGGCGCCAGCACGAGGTCGAGGCTCTTGTAAGTGGAAGAGGTGCTGAACTCGCGCGAGATGACCCTGGAGCCGAAGTAGGCTCCCTCCGGATCGAGCAAATTGACGACCGCCGCCGCGTACTCCCGGTTGCCCATCGTGTACACGTACATCTCGAACATGTCGCCGGCTTGTCTCAGGAACTCGCGCACGCAGGGCCTCAATTTGGTCACTAGGGGCAAATCTTGCAGCACGAAGAGTGTACCGTTCAACGGAGCGTCTGCAGCATCCAACGAGCACTGCTCTTCCGGTGCCAAATGCGACAGCAAGACCGAATCCACCAAAGTGTTGTCCAGATCAAGAACCAAGCAGAGCTTCTTAGCATCCGCGAGACTCCTCGATTCGCGATACCCCGCGACCTCGGCCGCCGAGAGCCGCAGCCCTTCCACCAGGTACCCGAAATCCCGGCCGCAGTGGTTTCCGAGGGCCTCGCCGCAGTCGGCGCACGACCCCTCGAGGACGGTGGCGTGACTGCACGCCGCGGACGATCCGGGTCTCGACCCTAGTCCCGACCCCGACCGCGCCGGTTCCTCGTCGAGCTTGTGACCGCCGCCCAGGTGGGAGTGGATGGAATGCAACTTCTGCTTGAGATACGTCGAAACGGAGTGGGTGATGGACGATGACGTGCCAGGATGATCGCCGGGATGACCCATCTTCATCAGTGGCCAAATGAAACTATTTTCCTCGTTGATTTACGATTCTTGGAGCTTTTTGAAACCTCGAGATCATGTGCTGACAAGAACAAGAAAGATGGAAGCGCACGATATTCACGGGGGCAGCTATCAATCAAGATGAGAAAAGGCAATTTGGTCTCGGACGCCATCCAGAAGCCAGAGAAACTCCCCCTCGTCCACGATGTGCCCACCGATCCTGAAAAGTCTCGGTCGCCAAGTCGTACTTTTTTATTTGAAAAATTGGTCTGATTGATGGAAGATATCGATTGACTCGATTGCATGAAATTACATAAAGCTGCTGTGCCTTCAGCTACGAGCGTTTCTTAGGGGTTGAAAATGCGCGCACCAGGACAAAACGTTAGAGATAACGACAGTGATTTACCTATAATTTGAAATCAAAAAGTAAGATTAAGAAGAAATGCTCGTGTTGAAGACGTTTGCGTTGTTCGATGTTAAAGAGGAAAATGAAGTAATTTGGCCAAAGGGAACTAAACTTTACTTTCAAATTAATTCATCATTTTGCCGATACTCTTTAGTTTGATAAAATGAACTTATTTGATAGAGAAATAGTCGATTGTGTAAAAAGAAAACAAATTCCACGAGAATGCGAGCTTTGTCTCAGTATTCAGACAAAATAATAAAAGAATAGATGTGCACTTTTATGGTCAGTGATGGTAAGAAAAATAGTATGTAGACAAGTGATAGCCCCTCCTAAACATAGCGTTAGTGGAATATAGATTAATTGGTATATGTAACGATAATATTATGTTAAATTTGATTTATCACGTAATAAACGCTTAAAAAAATTGAAATGGTTTTTTTTTCATATTTGGATTCAATAACAAAATGTTTTTAAAGGTCTATCAACCATATGAAGGAGAAAAGTATAAAATCATAAAAGATACCCGAGTGGGTTGATTTAGAAAGAAAGTTGGAAAACTAAAAATAAATAAATTTAACTGTGACTGGATTAAAAAGGATAAAGAGGAAAATAAAAATAAAGAAAAAACTCGTAGCAAATAATATTATGTTAGTTGAGAGAAAAAAACAAGAAAATAAATAATTTTTTACAGTGTAGCATATACCGATACTGGTAGTCAAGATTCAAACCTAAACAAGCCCCACCCCTCTCATCGTTGAACTTCCCCGGCATCCACCCAAAAACCAATGTCCGACTCCAAGACAAGGCTGGAAGGCAAGGTGACCATCGTCACCGGCGGCGCGAGCGGCATCGGCGAGGCCACCGCCCGCCTCTTCGCCGCCCACGGCGCGCGCGCGGTCGTCATCGCCGACGTCCAGGACGCCCTGGGCGAACAGGTCGCCGCCTCGATCGGGGCCGACATTTGCACCTTCGCTCGCTGCGACGTCACCGACGAAGACCAAGTCGAGGCCCTCGTCCGGTCGACGGTCCAGGCCCACGGACGCGTCGACGTCATGTTCTGCAACGCCGGGATGGTGAGCCCCTCCGACCAGAAGATCCTCGACCTCAAACTCTCCCAGTTCGATCGGCTGATGGCACTCAACGTGCGGGGCGTGGCGGCGTGCGTGAAGCACGCGGCGCGGGCGATGGTCGAGGGGCGCGTGAGGGGCAGCATCTTGTGCACGGGCAGTGTCGCGGGGAGCTGCGGCGGGGTACGGCGGACGGACTACCACGCGTCGAAGCACGCGGTGGTGGGGCTGGTGAGGTCGGCAAGCCTCCAGCTCGGGGCGCACGGGATCAGGGTGAACTGCGTCTCGCCGTACGCGGTGGCGACGCGGCTCCTGAGCGGCGCACTCGGTGGGGCGAGCGCGGAGGAGGTGGAGAGGTTCTACGAGCCGTCCATGGTGTTGAAAGGCGGAGGTATGCTGAAGGCCGGAGACGTGGCGGAGGCCGTGCTGTTTCTGGCGTCGGATGAGTCGAAGTTCATCACCGGGCATGATTTGGTCGTGGACGGCGGATACCTTCTCCGGCGTTAAGTTTTCTTTAATTATTTTTAGTTTCCCTCGATGGTTATGTTCTCGATCGATCAAGTTTATGGAAGCATGAGTACTTGAATTCCTTAGCTATTGGACATGATATTATTATATGGATACGATTGTCCATTAACTCTTAATCATTTCGAAACATTAATTATCTCGAATTGACCTTATCTTGTGATATAAAATTTGGATGCATTATCACTTGATTTGCATACATGAAGATTGGGAAGATGGAGCACACTGAAATTCCATGGCGAAGTTGGACTCCAAGGTCACGGCACACGATTATCAAACCTAGGTGTGAGAAATTGCACTCTACTAGTATTTCGTTTGTTTCGTGTAAAATGAATTATTTGGAAAATCATTACTCACAATGCTTGAAATAATTAATTAATTAAAAATATTTTTATTACCGGTAACAATTTATGTCTAAATATTTTCGTAGTATAATTTTTGGATTGTTCAATTTTGTAAGCAATAGAATCAAATAATTGTAGGAAAATATTTTTCATGCTATTCATTTTTTTTTTGAAATAAACGAATCATAAGGCTATCTTCGTTTCGCGGAAAATGTAACGTTTCTAGAAAATATTTTCTGAAAAGTAATTTTTCAGGAAAATGACACTATATTTCCGGTGTTTGGCTGATACCTGAAAATGAATTAGAAAATATTTTTTGCCATTTGGTATCCGATTTGATTTTCTAGGGGAAATTATCAAAAAAAGTCGAATTATTTAATTATTTAATTTTTTTTTTCCTTTTCTTTCCTGTTTTTTTCCTCTTCCTTGGCCAATCCTCGGCCATGACAACGGCCGCACGACTGGCCACAGGTGAGCTCGAGCCTCGCAATAGGCCAGAGAGGCTCAAGCTTGCCAACTTCCGGCGAGGTCGAGCCTTACCCAGCTTGCCGCATCCGACGGAGCTCAAACTTGCTTTTGGCCGATCGCCGATCGCCGCCGTGGCCAGCAGCTAACTGAGGAAGAAGCAAAAATAAAAACAAAAAGTAAGAAAGAAAAGGAAAAAAGTATAAATAAAAAATAATTATAAACTCGATTTTAAAAAAATAAAATAAAAGGTGAATGTGTTATTGGAAAGGTAGTGAGGTGAAAGAAGCGGAAACATTTTCCCCACTTTTGAAGATGTTTTTTTTCATTGGTTCATATACTAGTTTATTTTTTTATGAAACGACCGCCGAAAAATTCAAAAAATATTTTTTTAGAAGTTATTTTCCGTAAAACGAAAGGAGCCTAATAGGTTTTTCAATTAATAGGTTTTTTTTTCCAAGTTGAAATTGCCCTTTCTCTATCAAAGAGAAAGGAGCAGTGTGATAATGAACAAAAAAAAAATAGTTCACATGCATTGTGAATGATATCGTTTGCTTGGCAATCAGAGCTCAATAAGCAGATCACTGATGATCCTCGCAATAACAATGGAATTTCGCCAACCACCATTGCCGAGATCATGTTCGACCATAATCCAACTTGTGCAGGATTTGCATGATCAATGGACGGGATGGGACCCAATTCACAAGAGACCCGTTCAGAGAGGGGGGGCGGGGGGGCAGGCACGCGTGGAAGAATGGGCCAAAAAGGCGCAACCACCGCGGAAACGTCGCCGTCGGGGGACCCACCGGCCGGCCCAGTCCCACATCCCTGCCCGTCCCATTCTTATCTGCTTCGAAAGAAAAGAACAACTTAGTGGTGGGTCCGGTCCCCCCTCTCTTTTCGTCCCGACCCGTTGATCAGCCAATCAGGTTCGGGATCGCCCGCCACGTGCGCGGAAGACCAGCACCCCCCGGTCGTTGGGGGGCCCCACCGAGTTGCAGATTCCGCGGTAATCGTTTCTTGGAAACAATGCCCGTGATTGCGAGTTGTCCGATGCGGACATCCCCCATTGCTACGCCGTCGTTTTAGGCTAGGCTCGCAACCCCCCCGGCCCAACCTCTTAAGGCCACGTGGCGCGTGCCCATTGGGCACGGCGTGGATTTCCCCGGGATTCTTGACGAAACCTTTTTGTTAAGTTCCTAACATGTTCCGCTGAAAATCATTCGCTTGGAACGTGTTACGGAGGACCTAAGTAAGTTCTCAAATCCGCTTCATCGAGGGTCTTATTCAGATTTCGGGATTCTTAGCATGTAGAGCAACGAGAGGGTATTCACGCCTCTTAGAGAAGAAATCAATTTGAAGGGAATTGAGGGTGCTGGGTATAAGCACGTTCTGCTGAAAATCAATTGCTAGGAATATGTTTTGAAATTCCTCCTGATACGTTACACAACATGTGATTTGTATGCTTGATCGTTGATTATGATTCGTCGCATCATGCTGTCGAAAGACATGACAAAAGCGAGCGATAAGCTTATTTACAACATTTTCGATCAGTCGAATTTAATATAAAAGCGAATTTTACGTGGTCCATGCGCACTCGAGATTTAAATAAACTTCATTTATGTATAAGAAACCCTTCTTTTGTCGGGGATCGCCCATTGCATCTTACGATAAAAGCGACACGTGATTACAACCTTATAATATTCGCTTATCGAGATTCCTAACAAGTTTGCCGGTATGATCGCATGGCTGCCGTGCGGGTGCGTACGCCTTCGATCACAACAAAGGCTTAACAGGAACCTATTCACGAACATGTACGAAGCCCGGGGGGTGGGGGAAAGAATCATCTCAGGTGCCTAAATGTGCAACTCTCGAAAGGCAAAAAGAAAAGAAAAGTTAATCGACACGATTAAGACCTTTACAGGTCTAAAAACCACTAACCCCCGTTAAATTAATCCTTTTCCCTTCTAGAAAATGCTGACGTCTAAAAGCGACCTCTATAGTCTTAGCCTCAAGAGCCCCCTCGACCCCACAACATTAAAGGAGAGGGCAACAGCTAATCATGCTTTAATCATCTGCACTAATCCTTTATTAATCTCAATTAAGATCTCCCAACTTCCACATGATTATATACTCCCCTCAGAAGAAGTTCCCAGCAGTGGCATGGAAGTGAAGAGAACCACCCAGAGACTCGGACCTTTTCTTCTAAGGTTTGAGAAATAGAAATGGAACTGTCTGAAAAGGACATACCTTCACCTCAACAGATCTAACGAAGAGTTCTCTGATAATCTCCGGGCTGAACACCGATAACTATAGATCCGATGGCCATCGGAAAGAGAAGACGACTGATACAAACTCTCGGGGAATTTCGGGCATTCCCCGATCTAAGCGTTTGCAAAGTTTTTAAGTGCGTCGCGGTCGGACCATCAAAGTGCCGATGGTTCCCTTGTACACGAATATATCAGGTCAAGTAGCATTTGTTGCTAGTCAGGTATCGGAACATCACACGATCGAGACTGCGAACAGAATTCCTTTCGATACACGGATAATTGCATGGCGAAAGGCGGGGTCAACAACTACTAACATGAATTTAGGCTGGGAAAGGGTAAAAACTAGTGCAGAGTACAGCATCAGATCTACATTGAGCACCATCGATGAACTTGATTGCTTATTTATAGTCATAATTCACAAAAAGTCCAGTTTCTTGGAAGAAACAAGCAAAGGGATACCGATATTGCTTAGTAAGGCCAGGGCCAGAAGGCTTGATCTTCAGGAGCGAATCCGAAATGGCATGAGCTTGTGGATGGGATGGGATAATCATCTTGAGTCTCTTCTAGCTTCGGGAAGATGCACGGATACTGCAGGCTCTCGTTCTGCACGTCTTCATCGTCTTGGGAGGAATCCGAAAGGTCGGGCTCGAAAGCATAGGAAGAATCACCATGCTCTATTAGCGGAGAATAGCCACCATTTGGACTGTCGGAATCCAATATCTCGCTTTTGCCCGGACAGATATCTTCCGGTTTAAAGGGCACCGTCGAAATTCTCTCTTCTTCGCCCTCGGAACAGGCGATGGAATTCTCTGGTGGTCCATGAGATGATGTGTTGGACGGTTTGGAATTTGTCGTTCCTCTTGCTTTGATAAGAAGCTTGTCCGTGAGGACAAGAACCTGCAGAGTGACATCTTGACCATATTAGCATATTCAAAGCAAAATGTTCAAAGTGCCCCACTTCCTCCTTATTTCTCAACAATCCCCTCCCCATGCGAGCCGATACGGTGACAAAAAGTCCAGCAAAAGCAATGAGCCAGCAGCTATTGTCCTATGTGTGTGTTAATCCTAGAATTTTAGAACCATTCGACTAGAATAGTAAGATTTCATACTAATTGGCAATTCAGTACTTGAATGTTTCGATATGATTTTCACCTCGGCTTTCAGCTGATCATTTTCCTTGAGAAGACTGTCGCAGTCAGCCTTGAGGCTGTTATAGCTAGCTTGCAGATCATCGTATTCCTTCTCCAATTGCTTGGTCTTCCATCGGGCCCGGCGGTTCTGGAACCATATGGCAACTTGCCGGGGCTGCAAACCAAGGTCCTTAGCGAGTTGGATTTTCCTTTCTGGCTCGAGCTTGTTCTCCAGTTCGAAGTTCTTCTCGAGGAAATGGACCTGCTCGGTCGTTAGCCTCCTCTTCTTCTCGGGTTGATGGAAGTAATCGTCCAGGTCTTCCTCCCCAAGTTCATGGTGATCAAACGCTTGGAAAAAGGAATTCTTCGACACGTTCACACCATTAGCGTCTTCGAAGCTCACCATGGATCTTGATCCTGAACCACAACACCCGGAAAACGCTCCCATCTTAGAGAAGTAAATTCTTCCTATAAATTCACGAGTCATAAACTGCTTGATCAAACAAAAAACTTTGCAGCCTTCAAAAGCGATTTTAGTTTGTGGGAAATTCGCAGGCTGTAAACTTAACCTCTGTGTCACCAGAGTTATTACTCTTTACGGGTCTACTTCGAGAACAAGAACAGCCCATTAGAAGCACCTCAGAGCAACAGATCTACAATAAAAATACTAACAGTTCACTCATGCTGCTAAACGAATGGCCGATGAAAGCCAGAAGAACGACAATCCTGATTGAAGATGAGGTTATGAGGTCTGTGTTCAAAACAGCATCTTTTCACAGGCACATTGCAACCGGCCACTAAACTTTATCGATGTATTAAACTCAAGAGAATCTTTAATCGTTCATCCTCGGATTGAGTGACGACAGAGTAACTCTGCATCCTGCAACTCCAGTCGATCCCATCGCATACATCACGATTCAACCGGGTAAGGACCTTTGCAGGAGAAACTCCCCATCAAATCATCATACTCGTTGATCTTTCTAACTAGATTCAGCCAGTCAACGCCAACAAAAGATTTTGACCAAAAAAGAGGAAACGCCAACAAAAGTCACATGATTCGCACGCACATGTCAACGAACCCCAGATTGTCCAATCACAAACATATTCATAAACGTAAGTACACTGATTATGCACAAAGAAAGCGAGCCAGGGATAGAAAAGAACGCAGAATTCATACCCAGAGAGAAAGAAGACCCGTAAAAGAGAAAGGCGTCAGAAGAGGGAGAGACTCGTTGGTTCTTAAGCAAAGGCGAGATCGCCGAACCCCCACAACCACCGCCCGCCATGGACGATCCGAGTACTTTTTTTTTTTTCTGGGTCGAATTGGTTTCTAACTGGATCCCATCGGGTGAAGCAGAAGGCGGAGTCTGTTGAACTTGGAGGGCTGGAGGACTTAAGACTTGTGGCGGAAGAAGCTGGTCATGATGATCTCGGTGATGTGGGACGTGTGAGAGCACCGGCAGGTCACACCCATCACTCAGAAGCACGAAAAATTTGGAGGGCCTAAAGACAGAGAGGAGTGTATCGACAAGGAAGAGGTTCGCAGGTGAAGAAGAATGGGTGGCCGATGATGGCGAGAGAGAGAGAACAGAGAACAGAGAGAGAGACGGACGATGAGAGAACAGAGAGAGCTTTTCTCTGTGGTTTTATAGACTTGAGAGTTGGGAGGTGTTTTTGGGAGGGGAGGAATAGAATTTTAGAACATAAAATGGTTATTGATTAGAATTCTAGAACATAAAATGGTTATTGATTAACTGACAAAAGTTTTGATAAAGTAAGATTATTTGTTATCATTGATCATTTTTGTGTATTCTCCGATATGATTCGAAGTGAGAATGTTTTTACCCGTGAGGCCGAAAACAAATTTCTGTGTTTTGATAAATTAGGATTGATGTTTTTATTCTAAAAGTTTCATTTTCAGAATATATCGACGTCTTTTCTTAAGAGACATCAACGACGATGAAAAAGTCATTTATTCGAAGTTGATACGGACCTAAAAGAGTGAATCGATCCTCCTCTTTCTTTCTTTCTCTTTCTCTTTTTTCTTTTCTGTTTTAGGCTATGAGTTCTCCTTATTTCGAGAAGTCGATTTCCACTTTCAGAAATACAGTTATGTCATTTATAGATGAAAAAGTTTTAGTTCTATTTCAATCGATGTAGTTCATCTCATTCCAATCATTTCATTTCTAACATTACTATCTCGACGAAATGACGTTACAATTCTTACTACAATCACAAAAGCTAAATTATACATTGCGGTTGATGTTGATTTTATATATTTGCAAATTCTATATCATGGACACGTGTCGGGAGTGATTTTAAGTTACAATCCTTTTATATTTTTAGCATTTAAAGTTTGACCTTTTAGCGAATGTTGAACGCCCTAGACTTATGGACATCTAAGGTCCCTACGAGAATATAGATCTTCATTTTTTTTTTTCCCAAGGTAAACAGCAGCAGCAAGTAACTATGTTAATTTTTATTAAAAAAATGTTAGAGGAAAGGCATGTCTAATCCCAACTTAGGAAAAAGTGGCATACTAGAAATAAAGATATATTCAATATGATGCTTCTTGAGAAATAAAATAATAGAGCAAAGATGGTGCTCCAAGTCTTCAACTCCACAATCCAAGAATGGAGAAAACAGGGAGCAGAAGAAGCATGCAAGGTGAGATCAGCATAGAGACCTGGAGCTGCCATTTTGGACCAGAAAGCCAATCAAATTGCGAAACCTCTTTTTTGACGTTACAAGGGTGGTGGTGATTTCTTTATTTTATTAAGGCCGAGCGCATTAGCTCGACGATAAAGGGATTGCAGTCTTTTACAAGATCAAGAATTCTAATCATGTTGTGAATGAACCATTGGCCAACTTGAGCATTGGACATTTGATACCTTGAGTGGCGAGATCTCTTGGCTTTTGACAAGTTGGTCGGGTTGCGGTGACGGACATGTACACCAACTGTTAGATATGAGTCAAATGAACATTTTGTAGCTTTTGGTTAAAGGGTAGCTACACTGGTCGCTCTTCCCTAAAACCCATCATGAAAAATTCGATACCTTCATCTACATAGATATATGAAACAAAATCTTTTGTAAGTTTGTCCCCTAGGATTGTAAAATATTATAGGGAAAATGACATACATGGTCCTTGAACTTCAGCCAAATTATGCAATATCGTTCCTAAATTTTCAATCTGTTCAATGTGATTTTTAAACTTTAGCCTACTGTGCAATGCCATTCATGAACTTTAATTTATTCAATGTGGTCCTAAATTTTTGGTACACGTTCAATTTAATCCCTCGATTATATGAAAATGTTTAATGTTTCTCCTAATCTGAATTAATGCAATGATCACATTCGATAATTTTCATATAGTTTATTGACTAAACTGAACATTTACGAAAAGTTCATGGATCATATTGAACAAATTAGAAGTTCATGGATGACAATAAATATTGGACTAAAGTTTATGAACCAAATCGAATAAATTAAAAGTTAGGACGACATTACACATTGACCACTTGTGTAAGTATCGCAATATTAGAATTGGAATCGCCTTTACGCGACAAAACATTTTAATGCTTTTTCTATATAAAGTAGCAAAACACACATGCACTACTTTATCGCCCTTATCCTCTCTTCATTATTTGGCTATTCAATTATAGCTCATTTGCATTCGAGAAATATTTTCTTATTTAGCACGATAACATAACTTAAACTTTTTTCTCATATTAGTTAGTAGATAAAAATTTCTATAATTTATACTCATTTCAGAGATAGCATAACATTTACGATATATAATATCTTACTTTAAGTTTGCAAATTTTTATTTATACTAAATAGTCGCTTTGCACTTGGGTAATTTAATTTAAATGCGTACCTTTTCACAATTAACGATACATCTGAACAGTGTTGCACTCTTATTAATATATTTCATGCTGCATTCTAATTATATTTTTCTACGACGATTTGCACAACGTGTGGCTAAACATCTAAAATAAATACATAATTGCAGAGTTTCCCGAGACCGTTACTTCTAATGTGTTTTTTTTTTTTTGGGTACAATAGTTGGATTTCGAGTTCTCATATTCAACTATGGAAAAAGGAAGAATAAAATGGAAAATAGAAATTAAAAAAAAATGGGAAGGAAAACCCACAAAGTCGAGCAAACCAACACGAAGAAGGAACACGTCCAATCAGTCGCGATCGAAGGGTGAATTGGGTGGCGATCTACTGTCCACAAAAGAATTAGAATATTGCGTTAATTAATTATGATTGTATGGGTACTAATCTATTGCAGAAATGCCTGTTTACATATTCTAATTTTTTCGAGGGGTAATGAGGTACAAATTAGTCGATGGGGGTGAGATTTGATAGGTTGCGCAGGGATCGACGTTGACTTTTTCTATGATGTCAAGATTGAGTTTTCCTACCCTATTGTCTGCCAAACGTACCTTCTAAATTGGAAACCGCTCGAATCGGATTCAATTTTTGAGAGTATCGATCCGATTCTCAATTCCTAAAAATGGAATTGGTGTCTGGGCGGTCCGATTTTTGATTTCAAGGGAGAACTAGACTGAACTGGATCGACAAAACTAGACTAACTACATATACTTTTTTTATTTCTTCAAAAAAAATTGTAAAATGTGAACTAAATCCTACGTGAACTTTCTTGATAAAAATTTATTGAAAAAAATTAGTAAAATATGAACTTAACCCTAAGTGAACTTCATTGACATAAATTTATTGACCAAATTAGTAAAATATAAACTAAACCCTAAGCAACCGGTTCTATTAGACCGGACCGGTCTAGTCCTTGGTTCTCAATTTTGGGAACCGATCCTCCCGGCCCGATTCCCGATTTCACCTTGGAACCAGACCGAATCGGAAATCGATCATCCCTGTTATTTGCCTTGCCAATCCCAAAAAGGGGAATGTATTGCCTCGATATTTGTATGGAAATTGTTGAACAAATGGAATAAAGCGATGAAAATCAAGGATTTGTGTTAGCTTGTCCGTGTTTCAGTTGGGTTATATTCGTCTCCATCCTACTTGTTTATGCTAAATAGACAAAATCACCCTTAATTTTTCTATTGAACTTTTGAGTGATGGACTCGGAATTTATTTTATTCTTCTCTTTTTCTAAGTAGAAAACATAAATTGGGTCTTATCCTGTATTACAATGAGGATTTTAGGCTTATAGCACATGTTTCCTTTTTTTTCGACGATTTCCGAAAATAAAGTCACAATTATGTCCTCAATGCGAAAATTTAAAATTCGATCAAATCAAGCCTTTGCATAAAATAAGAGGAACTTTAAAATGATAATTAAATTTGTTTCGATTTAGATTAACAATAATTAATATATTTAATACAAAAAAAAATCCCAAACTGGTATGTCTGCGATAAATTTGCTCAAAATTATTTTTTTTGACCACAAAAAAGCATAAACCGGTATACCTTTGATAAATTTACCCTTCATTAGCTTATATCAAATTTTACCGTTAAATTTCCTAACTAAAATGATATTTTCGTGGTATTAACCCTAACTGATATCACTCACGAAGTGGGGTACCATGGGCTTTTTGGGATTTGGAGTTGGGGCCGAGAGAAGAGGGTCCGGAGGGTACTTTGGTCATTTCGCTCGGTGGAGGTGAAAAAAAATAGAAGGTGGGGTGGGGTGGGGGAGGAGAAAGAAAAGCTTCGTCCAATGTCGACCGGGTCAAATCGGCCAACTCGGCTGCCGGGGCTCCAAAATGTGAGGACCCGTTGGGCCACGGATCAACGTGAATTGGGGCCCACCCGACCCGACTGGACCTGACCCGTCGTGCCGAAAGGAATTCGAGCTTATCGTTTTGGATTGCCCTCGTTCGATCACTTGAACCCTCGCGATTTCCCTACTCCTCTTTCTTTAAATTTCTTTTTATTCGATCTACTCTTGTCGATCCATGTCTTTGTCGAAGAGGGATTGGATTTTGGGTCCGCCATGCTACTTTCGAGATCCACGTTCGCTTCCTCCGGTCTACGTATCACTCCCGAGGGTGGCCGTTACTCATTTTCATGCTGTAAAACGAGTCCCCAACTTCGGCGAAATCTTCTTGTCAGATAGGAGTTGTGCTCTCGTCACTGATTTGATACGGATAAAAACTGCAAGGCTCGGTAAACTCTCGATTATCTATTCCTTACCTCTCCTTTTATAAGTTGGAGATATCAACAATTATGTAATCTGATCGGATATTCTATTTTTTTTTTGTGCAATATATAGATAGTAGATCCATGTACACGTATAACATAATGCTGTGTGCTCGCTAGGAATCCGATCCAATTCCCTTGGCGTGCAGAATGCGCCTATTGACAAAAAAAGAAGAAGAAGAAGGGGTGTTTGGGCTTGTTTCTCGATCCATCATAGTAAGAAACAAAAAGCCCAATGCGATTACTTTAGGCAGGATTTTTTAGGGGAAAATAATCGAGTAGTTCTATTGCACCAATGCCCTAGGATATGAATTTAAGTTGTTGTTTTTGAAGTATAAAAAGCGAATCTTTATGTGGGTGTCCATCTCAAACCAACACAACATAAAATCCTGAAGATCGATTAGAATTTCTGAAAGTAATTACGTTGCAATCTCATAAATATCTCGTAACTCTCGTCCTACTTACAGTTATTTAAATAGATTTTTCGCGAATATTAAAATTTCTAAGTATAATCTTATCCCACACAAGGTCTTGTGATTCGCGATCAAGATTACATTTTATTTCTTGTTTCAAAACGATTTCATTTCATCTCATTCCCTAAGATAAAAGTATCAAAATCCCATTCAAATTTGTTCGTAGGTAGATGTGCATCCAATCGCGAATTTCTTCAACTTTCACTATCAACCCAGAGAATCTCTCACCTTTTTCTGCGTTCCCACTTCATTCCACTGTTTCAAATCCATTGCAGTAGCGCCACCCCCACCACTCTCGCTTAGATATTTGTCGCTTTTTCCATTACCCCTCTTCACCAGGAAGCTGAGACAGGCGCGGAGGCAAGACCAGGGAGGTAAATTTTCCATCTTTGTACTCTTGACTTTCAGTCTCCATGTGGGTTTCTTGGAAACTTCAGAACCCATCTCGCAGGAGGAATTCCTGCTTTACCCTCTTTTGGAAAGGTGGGCACCATGTGCTCGTTTTCTGGGTGTAATTTGATGTGGACAAGTTGGTGGTGGGTTTGTGATTCCATGGTCTGCACAGAGCGTTCGAGTTCATGTACTCGAGCCTCTAATTTGTGACTGTCATCTCATTCACGTGTGAACGTATTGGAAACAATGCAAACTCAACAAGTAAAGCCGACTCTGGTTCGGCTTTCTGTGCGTGCCGCCTCTGAATTGTGATTGGTAATTCGGCTTTGGTGTTTGTGGGGTGGAATAATTGTTTGTGTGGTCTTGATTAGGATTCTCTTGTACATTGATTGGAGTTGTACTTTTGTAGAGTTTTTAAGGAAATATTCTGACGTGAATGTTGAGGTTTGTCCTTCATGGTGGTCCAACCGAGAACAGTTTGTTCGGATGGAATGCAATTTAATTGTTTTTAACAATCTTATTATGCTTGTCGAGGGACAGCTCAGATAGTCAACTACCTTGTCGCCCGAGAATTTCCCAGTGGTTGACCTGTTGACTCCCTCATACGCTTTTGATATCTTCATCTGAGGAAGAGTTTTGCATTTTGATCTTATGAGTGAACATCGTATTGGAAAGCATTTAACAACAGCATTTGTTCTGGTCTTGAAGAAGTCTCACAATACTATCTTCCTCCAAGTCATTCGGTGTCGGATCCGACGCTTTGCTACTGAAAGATGTAATTCCTTGTCTCTCTGTGTGTGTGCATGTTTAAAATTTGCAATTCTTTATTCCTAGATGGTGGTGGGTGTGTTATAAGCCATAATTGGGATCATCTTACTCTTGCTCTCAATTGCTCCTGATGCTTAATGTTATTTTGCAAAATATAATGCACTTTGATATATAATCTGGCCTTGCACAATTAGAGTTTTTATAAAACGTTCACTTAAATTACTGAACTATGCATACTTGTGCTGTCTATGATACTTCATTGAATGATCATTTTGGGTGAGTTGTGCATCACATCTGTTTCCTTTCTGAGTTCTCTGAAGTAATCTGTATGGTGTTTGATGTTTCGCCTATTTAGTTGTCTCACTGAAATCTTAGTACATGGCTCTACTCTAATGTGGATTGATTAACTTGATGTTGCAAAAAGCTTACTGATGTTATGACTTATTATAGCTGCACAAAAAGAATTGCACGTGCCTCTAATTTGTCCGTGAATATTCATCAATGTTCTTTTAACCCATTAGACTAAGTATAGCCTTGATGAGTAAAGCGAAGGTAGATGTAGCTATCCTTACAAGAGGACAAGTATAAGGGATTAAGACTAACATTGTGATTGATCATTTCGCTTGGATTACTTGTTCACAAGTGCTGGCATATTTCTTGTTTCACGATCTTGTTAACATTGTTTCTGTTTATGCATTGGCTGTAATTCTGATAAGGATTGAGGGCAGAATCCTTTTCTAGCCATTTAGGAAATATTCGTGACATGTGTTGTGAGGTCTATCCAAACTCCAAAAAGTGGTCCAAGTATTTCCTTTTTCTCGTTAAAATTCACTTTTATGGTGCTTACGTTAGTGTTCCTCTGTTCCTTTAATTAATTGATCTTCTTTCTCTGAATGATACCATACTCTCTCTCGTTGTGATTTATTTTGCTTGAGGTGTATGAAATTTGGAGCTTTATCCTGTTTCAATTGTTTGTTATGATCTGCTTCGCATTGGATATTTCACCTTTCCGTACTATCAATGTTTAGGACTTAGATGTAATGGTGCTATGAATACAAACTACTATTTGAAGATGAGAGGCAATTTGCTCCTGCTTTTTATGGACAAGTCTTTTTTCTGACACGTTCCGGGATACTTCTTCTTCTTCTTGACACCTCATGTGTCCTCTGTTTATCTGAATTGGAGTGGTCTTTGATCTATATGTTTTTCTTCTTTCACTGATCTTGTGGACACAGTTGAAAGACAAATAAGATGGGTAACCTGTTCTGCTGCATTCAAGTTGACCAGTCCACAGTAGCTATTAAGGAGAGATTTGGCAAGTTTCAAGAAGTAATGGAACCTGGGTGCCATTGTCTTCCTTGGTTTCTCGGAAGTCAGCTCGCTGGCCATCTCTCACTCCGATTGCAGCAGTTGGATGTGAAATGCGAAACCAAAACCAAGGTTTGTTCGATCACATGGATTTTCCTTGCAAGTTTATCTTTTTTCATTGTGCAAACGTCCATCAACTTATAGGTTTCATTCCAGAAGATCTTGCAATACTCTACACAAATGTGCTAGTGATCATTTTAGTGGGAAACAAAGAATCTTTAAATCAGCACATCGCTCTTTGAATGTCCTGTGCTCAAACCATCTTGAGAATTACATTTTCATAATTAAACAAGCTTTGTGGGTTTGTCGAGAAGTATTAGTGCGGGCTATTGATGTATTTCAAAATATTTGTGAATTTAGAGTTGAATGTTGATGAAGTTGCCAATTTCCTTTTCTCGTTTCAGTTCTGTGATATGGCAGCTTGTCACTTGTTACCAATTGACATGGAAATGCCTGAATAGGTAATGACCTCACGTGATATTTTTCTCACAGGACAATGTGTTTGTCAATGTTGTTGCATCTGTGCAATACCGACCCCTTGCAAACAAAGCAAGTGATGCCTTTTACAAGCTCAGCAACACAAGGAGTCAGATCCAGGCTTATGTGTTTGATGGTATATGCCAAATGAATTTCGTCACATCAGTACAAATACAGTACTGAATAAATTTATGCAATTGTCATGTGCAAGTAACATACTTTAGTCGTTTAAGCTGTTTTTGTTTTCTCAATCATTGCAGTGATCAGAGCTAGTGTTCCAAAGCTAAACTTGGATGACGCTTTTGAGCAGAAGAATGAAATTGCCAAAGCTGTTGAAGATGAACTTGAAAAGGTTGTCCACTCTAGACTTCTCAATATTATTACGAGAGTTAATCTGAATTGGAGTTCTCTAAATTTTGCAGGCTATGTCTGCTTATGGATACGAGATTGTGCAAACCCTTATTGTTGACATTGAACCAGATGAGCGTGTCAAGCGAGCTATGAATGAAATCAATGCTGGTAACTGCAAAGTTCTTGAAACCCTTGAAATTTCAATTGCCAATTGATTCTAAATAATTGTTCGACATGGTAAAATTTTGTCATGTTTAGTGATACATGACATCGTGTCATTTGCAGCTCTAAGAGGACATATGTCAAAGGTTTAAATTTAAATTCAGCGTACTTACATTGTAGATACGGTCCGTGTCGCATAAACATTATATACTATTTTGAATGTAGTGCGTGTACACTTACTCTAATTACACTAATACGGCAGCTAAAAGCTGTAATAAATTTGATACGTGGTCTCCTTTCTTAGCCAGTGCTCCCATTTAGACAACTTATAAAGTAAATCTCATCTTTATGGAGGACAAGAGAAGGATTCGCATAAAGCACCACTATTGGAATATTTTTTGATCTGCATCAGACGAGAAATTAGACTTTGGTGCTTAAAAGCTGCTTCAAGATACACCAGAACATATAAAAATATATTTTGATCTGCGTCAAGTTCGAGTTTACTGCAAGTTTTGTTTTTGTTCTGGTAGTCTTTGTCTCCAACATTTTCATCTTTTTCAGCTGCAAGAATGAGGGTTGCAGCAAACGAGAAGGCTGAAGCGGAAAAGATTCTGCAAATCAAGAGAGCTGAAGGCGAGGCTGAGTCCAAGTACCTTTCTGGGTTGGGTATTGCTCGCCAGCGTCAGGCCATTGTGGATGGTTTAAGAGATAGTGTGCTTGACTTCTCAGAGAACGTCCCAGGAACCACTGCAAAGGATGTAATGGACATGGTTCTCGTGACTCAATACTTTGACACCATGAAGGAAATTGGTGCAACATCAAAATCTTCTGCTGTGTTCATTCCCCATGCTCCTGGTGCAATCCGTGATGTGGCCACCCAGATCCGTGATGGTCTTCTTCAAGCGTCGACACATCAGTGATTGTTCTAGTATAAGTCAGTTATGACCTCTAAATAATTGAGATAATGAACTATTCTGTCTTAGCCAATGTAGATATTTGCTTCAGAGTGCTAGAAGCTAAAAGGTTTATAGGGTGATTTATGCTTTTATATATTCGGTTCTCATATCTGACAATTTGGTACTGTAAATATTCACCTTAATGAATGATCTACTTAAGAAGTTAGCTCTTCAATTTCCCTTTTCTTTGTCCAGTCAAATGCAAAATGTTTTAAATCTTACACAGTGGTCTGTTGCTATGTGATATGCCCCAACTCATAAGTCCATTTTGTTGTGCAAAGCCAATACATGCAATACTATTGTCAGAAAATAATTTGTGATTAGGGTATAAGCGTTTAAACTAGACTTATTATGTCTGCTATTGCTTTATCACTCGCGAGGAAGAAATTTTTCCTCTGAAGAGTCTTAATATGGTGGTTTACATTGTGTCCCGACTGCGTCTTATGTCGTATGAAAAGATATGATTGAAATCAATTTGTATTTGTAATTATTTTCTATGCTATGATATGATTGAAATCAATTTGTATTTGTAATTATTTTCTATGCTATGATTGTGCTCCCGCTCCCGTGCCGTCGTATCCTCCTCCTTTCATTGAGTGCATTTGCTTTCTTATAGTAACTTTCTTCTGAAAATTTGGCCGGGAAGATGAGACTGGATGGACTTGTTTTCGCCCTTCTGCAATCTAAGATCTAATTTGCCAGCGAAAGTAACAATTGAACAGGGCAACTGAATGAATGCCATTATTTCATGTTCTTGAGGATGCTCTTATTGTGACTACAACTGAGACATATAACGTCTGGAGAGTAAATCATTCAAGTGCTTCCTCATGGCCACCTAAATTGAATTTACCCGATACCCAGACCCCGAGAGAGAATGCTAAAACAGCTGTAATGATAACCCCCCTGTTCCTGTTAAGCATCTTCATTGCGCTCCTGAAGATGCTTCTCTCTTCTCCCCATTTCTTGATGATCTCCTCACTGGAGTAGCAACATTCTGTGCTAGATTTTCTCCCTCTCACTTTTCTCTCAGGTGGCTCGTGGGCTTCACCGTGGCTTTCTTTGTTCAACTCTTGTTCATGGTGTTCGGTCTCTTCCTTCTCCACCACAGTTGTATCTCGCTTAGGCACCGTCACGGAGAGAATTCCATCTTCAAGTCTTCCACTTGTCTTCTGGATATCCGAGTCCTCCGGAACTCTGAAGGTTTCTTCGAAGTAAATGTACTTGTTGTCTAGCAGTCTTTCTCCGCTGACCGTCACGTGATCGATGCTATCTGTCTGAATCTTGATGTCTTCTTTCTTGAAATCTATACGTTTTTTGGAGTGAGAGAGGAGAATTAGATCAAAACCCAGCATCAGAGTAGGCTTCAAAGGCAATTCTAACAGCTTAAGAGGATCATTTTAGATGCAATTTCTCATATTCTTCTTCTACATTAATTAGTTATGGGAGACTGATTAGAACATGAACTTCGTGATCTCCTCTTACTTTTTACTTCTTATGTCGGAAGGAAGAGAGCAAAAATTATAACACTCCCAGAATAATGTTACCGCGAACAGTTCTAAGAAAATTTTCAATGAAAGCGGGAATGGTCGGCACTTGCTGAAACCGAACTCATCATATCGAAATATGGTGTTTCACCGCCTACAAAATGGATAAAGAAATCGTTATATAGTTTCCATACCAGGAAGATCAACAAGGAGGTAATGGCAATTCGATTCCTCGACCCACCCAGAAGCAGGTTTAAACACTTCGACCGTACGGTCTTTTGAGCGCGTTCTGCCCGTGATACCCGCCATTTTTCTGAAATTAGCTCAAACTTCCTTGCGTTATCTAATGGCACTGCGCCTTAGTTCATTTATAGCAGTAGATTGCTAATGAAAGGTATCTTCAAAGTGCTCTGGGATTGTTACTTTAAGATGCGTAGAAATACGAGGTAGATTTCTTGTAAGATTAGGTATTCTTTTATTCCAAACTTATTCATCTAACCCCCAAAAACAGAGGTGTCAAACTCAAGCAAAGGGACGATTCTTTGCTTTCCTTATGAAGAAGTCCAAGCGTGCATATACTCGCATCGGGCTACCTTTGATCCCGCTTGATAGAACCAAAGAAAGACAGCACGAAAAAATCAACGTGATCTCGAGTTGAACGTTTGTAATAATCCAAGGATAGAACTGCGTACGTATGAAACAAACGAAAGATGTACCCATGGAGGAAAGAACCACCGAGAGAATTGCATTTGTGACTTGATATTGAATCGGAACATCTCAAGAATCACCCGCACAACAGTCTCCATACCATATTGAGTGCAAAAGATCGGCACGAATGTTATTGCAAAATTCGAAAACACGTGTTGCCGTACTCCATTTCTTCCTTATTCTTAACTAATATTCATGCGCGCGAGCAATTATTCTAGTTTTGCTACCGCTGCATGGATTCTTTTCTAAAAAGAAAATATTGATGAACAATGAAGTTGGTTGTTGCATTGTAATGATAGTTAAGAAGTTTCACCAAGTGTAGTTTTCAGTGAAAAGTGGTTTTTTTGTTCTTTTACCTTTTTAACCATTTTATTTGACCAACTTTATTCTTTCTATTTGAAGCTAAATTGCATTACAAAATTAAGGTAATATCTAAATCCGGGCTAAATGGGAATCTAAAAGTAAGACAAAATCCACTTTTGATTGACTTACATATATCGATATAGATAAATCCATCTCAACACATTTTTAGGCATTCCCAATGAATTTTTGTGTAAATTATAATTTATATTAATTATGCGATGTTTTTGTAAAAATAATTTATTTCATTTTTACAAGAAATTCATATTCTATGTGTATGATGAGTTCTAGCTAGTTACGTGTATTTATGTCATTTTTCACAAGAAATTCATTTTCTATGCGTATGATGAGTTCTAGCTAGTTATACGTATTTATGTCATTTTTCACAAGAAATTCATATTCTGTGTATGATGAGTCCTAGCTAGTTACACACATTTTCTTTTATGTCGTGGAAACAATATGTATAGTACATGGTGACTATTGCCCCACGGAACAATTAGTCATTTCTCTAATTGCACCTAATTGCATACTCTTATGTCCTACTAGAGTAAATACTTTCATTTGAGTAAAATCAAAAAATATATATTTTAGTAATCTATTGTATACTATTTCATATGAATCTTTATCTTTTGAACAAAAAGGTGGAATTCTTAGTTTATACTATTATATTATATTGCAATATATAAGGATCCATATTTTAGTAATCTATTGTATACTATTTCATATGAATCTTTATCTTTAGAACAAAAAGGTTGAATTCTTAGTTTATACTATTATATAATTGGAACATATAAGAATCCAATAACAGTAACAAAATTCCTAATTGCTGTTATTATATGATATATGGATATTGTAATATTGAGAGAAAATAATAAAGTTTTCCAAGGAAATATACTTAATAAGAAGAATTACATAATATGTTAGAATTTTTCACAATTGTTAATTTTAAACGTTAAAGCTCTTTGAAATTATTTTCCTTTCTGGTTGAACAACAATCTTGATATTTGATGAGAAAAGTATATATCCTAACCGGAAGCAAAATGAGTGGAAATTGCAAAAATTACTCAATGATGGCTGGTGGAGGTCACTAGCCACAAGGGCGAAGGTCGGGACGCCCTTGCTAGCCATAGGCGAGGCCGGTCCTTGTTGGCCGACAAGCCTTGCCAGAGGCCGGTAGGCAAGGGTTGGCCTCACCTGTGGCCGGCGACCTCCGCCGGTCATCACGGAGGTTGTCAACTGGCGGAGGGAAATAAGAAAAAAGGTCTAATACCATGAAAAATCCCAAACTGGTAAACTTGTGAGAAATTAACCCTAAGCTAATTTTTTTACCACAAAAAACCCCATATTGGTACACCTTTAACAAATTTCCTCAAACTAATTTTTTGACTACAAAAAATCCCAGATTGGTACACTTGTGACAAATTTATCCTATATTACGAAAAATCACAAACTGTTAAACTTTTAACAAATAGAGGGGCAAAACCCTAACTTGGCATACCGGTCAACTGCCACGTATTATCCAACTTAACAATTTGACGATAAAATTTAATAGAGACTAACGGAGGGTAAATTTGTCATAGGTATATCAGTTTGGGGTTTTTGTGGTATTAACCCTAAGGAAAAAAAGGAAGAGAAAGAAAAAAAACAAAAGGAAAAAAAAGAATAAAAATTAGAAAAAATGACCACGTCAGCGCTAGTTGTGTCACGTCGGATAACCGGCATCCACATCAGCAATTTCCAGCATATATTGGCCGGATGGACTCAATAGGTATCAATGTGAAAATGTTTATAACTAAATTTATCCAATTGAAAAATTTAAGATTGAATTGATATCAATGCAATAGGATTAAGACTTTTTTGGGACTTTTCACTATCATCCTTTATAGGCATCTTTAAGGAAGATTTCGTTATATATATTGAATTGGTATCAATGCAATAGGATTAAGACTTTTTTGGGACTTTTCTCTATCATCCTTTATAGGCATCTTTAAGGAAGATTTCGTTATATATATGTGTGTGTGTGTGTGTGTGTGTGTGTGTGTGTGTGTGTGTGTGTGTGTGTGTGTGTGTGTGTGTGTGTGTGTGTGTGTGTGTGTGTGTGTGTGTGTGTGTGTGTGTGTGTGTGTGTGTGTGTGTGTGTGTGTGTGTGTGTGTGGTGACCATTGAAACCATCCCAGGGAACAATTATTCATTTCACTAATCGCATCTGTTATATTAGCAGCTAGTTGAAGACTCGTGCATTGCGCTGCATTCGAAAAGTGAATTAAATGTACATGACAATATATATTTATCAACTCAAAAACAACCATAAGTCACGTCGACTATTACTTTTACTCAGTATTATCCGAAATTGTTAGCATATTTTTTAACTACCATGTGCCCAATATATTCAGATTCGTAGTTATTTACTAACTAAACAACAAACTTAAGTCATGTTGTCTATTGCTTTAATAAGTGATTCATCGCAAACTATGTCTTGTTTATTCAAATATTGCTAGATAATACTAAATTAACATGTACGTAAAACTATTCCAATTTGAAGTTACTTCGATTTGTTTCCATCATATGCAGCTAATTTCTGGCTATTAAATTGTTTATTTTAATGTGATATATATTATCTATTTTTTTGCAAGGATAGACTGAATTATGACTGTTTTTTAGTATAGAATTTCTAAGCCATGAAGTATGGATCTTATCATATCTTTCGTTTCAAGGTTTTGATTAGCTTAGGCAATCCCTTCTATCTTTCGATTTCATTCCTTCCCGGTATCCAATTACTATCTAACTTGCTCACTCTATGCCTAATCACATCTCCTCTTTGAAATGATCGTGTACGTTTCGAACGTTGATGGCAAGCACCCTCTTCTTCTTCTTCTTCTTCATCCTTTTCAGCTTACTAACTCTCCGGACCATAATGTCTATCTAAAGTAGTACTTGAAGTTTAACTTTAAGCAAAAGTTGCCATGTCCCTTTCCGCTCATGGGTAAGGTCTATCATGCATCGAAGCACAATATATGCAAATAATAAATGTTCTTTTACCTCTTCCTCGTTTATTTACTCTCGTTTCCTACCTCTAGCAACTCCCCAATGAAGCACGCTCGCCCCGGCAAACATTCCATGTGGTTCGGCAGAACCAAAGCTAGGGGATTATTTGTAACTGTTCATTAGAATGTCCTAAAAAAAGTTGTCCCTAAATTGGATCCTTCGCATCTTTTTCTCTTTTGGTGATGATTATACGTCGCAGGAGACTTAGGTAGGTTTATGGGTTGGAAATATGGGAAACGACCAGGTTTGTTTCGATCCGATTCCTCGGTTGAGCCTTGAGTTTACTAGTTTCTTTTGGGAACCCAACCGACTAGAACGATTTTGAATTGGTCTTGATTTGGGCATTAACTTTTATTTAAAATGCTTTATGAATAACAAGTTAACAACTCGAAGTAAAAAAAAAAAAAACCACTAAGACATATGACAAAAATCACTCCCACCTCACATAGAAAAAAAAGGGGATAATGGCACAAACAGTTTCTGAACTTTGGCTTAATGTGTAATGTGGTCCATAAACTTTTAATTTGTTCGATATAATTCCTGAACTTTAGCCTAATGTTCAATGTGGTCTCTGAACTTTTAATTTGTTCAATATGATCCATGAACTTTTGGTACATGTTCAATGTTGTCCTTAAACTATATGAAAGTGTTTAATATAGTCCCTGAACTTGAATTAATGGAAGAACTACATTGAACATTTTCATATAATTTAAGGCCTTAAGTGAACATGTACAAAAAGTTTAGGAACGATATTAAACAAATTAAAAGTTCAGGAACCACATTGCACATTGGGCTAAAGTTCATGAACTGCATTGAATAAACAAAAAGTTTAGGGACCACATTGCACATGGGACCAAAATTCAAGGAAAGTTTATATCATTTTCCCTTAGCGGTTTTGTAGTGAAGTAACGGTAATCCAGTCCTAGTAATTCATTTAGAGTCTTTAGACAAAAACAAGTGGAAGTGACGAAAACCTTGGTTTGATTTTAGACTGAAAACTGTGAAAACGGGGAAAAAAGTGTTTTCACTTAACCAGCTAAAATGTGAAGACAGATCCATTCCGTTTTTCGATGGAAAACAGTATGCCAAATTAACCAAACCCAAATTTATGGGAATGAGAATGAGGATGAAATTGCCCCCTATGGCCATGATAGGTCTACAACAGGTCTGATGTAATTAACTCTACAATTTCTATAACAGGTCTGGTCATTAGCGCTCTAACCCATGATAACTGATGCTGCTGTTCTGAGGCATGACCTATTCACATCAATCTGCAAGCTAAATACCTAAATA